CCCCCCCGAGCTACACTCGGGAATACTCTGCAGCGTTGCTCCGGGACCTCTTCTTCACTTACCTTGTCCTGCGCTCCCGCGATGTCCCCCCTGCAGTGTCCCCAGCAATGTCCTCCGGCCGATGCCGGCATCTGTCTGCTGGGTTCCGTTCCCTGCGAGCGTCGGGACGTACGGGGGACGGAACTGGCGGGAAATTTGAAAATTTAAAAAAAAGTGACATTCACTAAATCCACTAAAATCACATAGTATAACATTCCTGTATCAAACCATTTCACATACATTGTGTCCCGAGTGCTTTGTCCGGCGCCCTGCCTGCATTTTTACCGCCCTTGCTGCCAGGAAACTGAGAAACGTCCACGGCGTCCAAAAAGCGTCCCTTTAGGTCAGACGCGGTTTTAGACCGGCTAGAGAACAGCGATAGTAAATCAGAACCACTTGCAGAATTGAGTGATAATGATTGGTGGGGGAAATTCCTCATCAGACACTGAAAACGATTCTGCGACTGAGCTCAGCGATGTGCCAACTTGGCGCTCTATTTCACATTTCAGTGTTTTTTGGTTTGATTATATATTTGAATTACATTTTTTTATTATTATATTATTGAATTACATTTATTATTATTATATTATTGAATTACATTTATTATTATATTATTATTTTTTATGATTATTTATTAAATTATAATTTATGATTTAGTGTTTCAAATTTTATCCTCCCCGGGATGTTTACTAGACTCTTATCCGGACAGATTTCAGGGAGTTATTCCTAAGAATTACAGGCCGACAATAAAAAAAACCAACATATTTCCATGCAAAAAAAATGTACCGCTTTGAGCACAGAAATACTGACATCATCAGACCGCTAGGGAGGTTAAAAAAACCCCTCCACCCCATTTATCAATTTATTAAAAAAATAGTCTGAAATTTGATTTGAATTTGGATAATTAGTTAGATTGGACAAACTTAATTCCGTTGTTTCAGATTAATTTCAATTTGTGACTATTGATACATCCGAATCTCTGAGTAACAAAGATTTTGTCCGAATTTTGGATTTCAGCGAGTTATTCCTAAGAATTACAGACCTACAATAAAAAAAATGACATATTTCCATGCAAAAAATTGTACCGCTTTGAGCACAGAAATACTGACATCATCAGAATGCTAGGGAGGTTAAAAAGCTGTGTGCAAAAAAAAAAAAAAGCATAAAATGTCTTTGGCAATGAAAGGGTTAAAGGTGAACTTATCCTTCAGAAAACCCAATTTTCCATCTCTTGTAAATACTATAACCAGTTCCCTTTACCTGACACGCTTATCTATAATTTGACATTTTGATTGCCGCACAGAAAACAGAATAAACATTTATACCTATAATCACAGGGAAAAACAAAAAAAGAATTGCAGTATCGGTCCGTTCCATCGATCAAACGAATTATAATCTCCATTCCAACTGAAGTGCCATTTAACGCGGCGCCTGTGAAATGATCTCTTTGAATCTCCCGTCATCCCACCTGCAGCCTGACATTATTACATACGGCCCGCGGTACGGCGACCAGAAAAGACGACCAGAAATGTCACGAGGTGTTTGTCACGGAGCGTTTTGTTCGGCTCGTCACCTAAAATGACCCCCTTTGTGCCGCCGTCAGGATAGAGATTCAAAGGAGCCTCTCTGTTCCTGTCATCCGACCGTTACGCTGGTTTGCTGTGAAGACGTTTGGCGGATCTTTAATGTGTGTCCCGAGACGCTTCCACTCACATATTCCGGAACAATCGGAGATGATCCCAATGTGTGGAATGAATGCTGCTGCCAGACTCATCCACCTTACCAACTGTTCAGTGTCCTCCACCTTTCTCTGCCAATCCCTCAATTGCCCTCCACTCAGTGTCCTCCACCCAACTCTGCCAATCCCTCCACTGGCCTCCATTCAGTGTCCTCCACCCCTCTTTGCCAATCCCTCCACTGGCCTCCATTCAGTGTCCTCCACCCCTCTCTGCCAATCCCTCCACTGGCTTCCATTCAGTGTCCTCCACCCTTCTCTGCCAATCCTTCCACTGGCCTCCATTCAGTGTCCTCCACCCCTCTCTGCCAATCTCTCCACTGACTTCAATTCAGTGTCCTCCACCCTTCTCTGCCAATCCCTCCACTGGCCTCCATTCAGTGTCCTCCACCCCTCTCTGCCAATCCCTCCACTGGCCTCCATTCAGTGTCCTCCACCCCTCTCTGCAATCCCTCCAATGGCTTCCATTCACTGTCCTCCGCCCCTCTCTGCAATCCCTCTGCTGGCCTCCATTCAGTGCCCCTCAACGTTCTCTGCCAATCCCTCAATTGGCCTCCATTCAGTTTCTTTCATCTCTGTTTGTCAATCCCTCCAGTGGCTTCAATTCAGTGTCCTCCACCCTTCTCTGCCAATCCCTGCACTGGCCTCCATTCAGTGTCCTCTACCCTTCTCTGTCAATCCCTCCACTGGAAGCCATTCAGTTTCCTCCTTCCCTCTCTGCAATCCCTCTGCTGGCCTCCATTCAGTGTCCCCCAACCTTCTCTGTCAATCCCTCAATTGGCCTCCATTCAGTGTCCTCCACCTCTCTCTGCCAATCCCTCCACAGGCCTCTGCTCAGTATCCTCCAACCCTCTCTGCCAATCCCTCCACTAGCCTCTGCCCATTGTCCTTCACCCCTCTGTGCAATCCCTCCACTGGATTTCTACTCAGGGTACTTTAACCCTTCTCCGCCAATCCCCCCACTGACTTCTGCTCAATGTCCTCTGCCCCTCTTTGCCAATCCGTCTATTGGTTTCCGCTCAGTGTTCACCACCCCTCTCCACCAATCCTCCCACTGGTCTCCACTCAGTGTCCTCCACCCCTCTCTGCCAATCCTTCCACTGGCCTCCATTCAGTGTCCTCCACCCCTCTCTGCCAATCCTTCCACTGGCCTCCATTCAGTGTCCTCCACCCCTCTCTACCAATCCCTCCACTGGCCTCCATTCAGTGTCCTCCACCCCTCTCTACCAATCCCTCCACTGGTCTCCATTCAGTGTCCTCTGAACCTCTCTACCAATCCCCCTACTGGTCTCCACTCAGTGTCTTCCACCCCTCTCTACCAATCCCCCTACTGGCCTCTGCATAGTGTCCTTTACCACTTGTAACGAACTAGAGAGAGAGCACACGTAGACAGATCACCCGGAACCCGACGTGCGGGCGTTTATTGGGGAGTTTTTTTGGGTACAGACAATAGAACAGCTAGTCCACAGAACAAAACAAGACACAGTGATACAGTAGGGTTCCCTTGATGGCAATATGGGACAGCAGGGGGCCGATAGTCCACTGGGTTCAGTAGGACAGAGTGGCGGGGGGGCACAGCAGGGGTTGGAGTCCGGGGGCAAGGGTTTTGGGCAGAATCGGGCTAAGTCCAGCACAGAGCAGAGATCTGGGCACAGCGAGGTTAATCCAATACACAGGATGTGAGGCAGGGCAGAGAGGGTTAAAGTCCACACAGGGCAGAGATCTGTAGCAGGATTGCAGTGAAGGAGGCTCGTGGGTGGGGGAGTCCGTGGGGTCTGACCGCAGCACAGACCTTGCACAGCAGTAGGCAGGGGGGAGCAACTGGACACAACTGGAGTGCGGCCTTTGTCTCTGGCGGGCATGAAGCGCTAGAGAACAGGATCGCGCCGCGCCCGTGGAGACAGGGAAGGAGTGTGGCGAATCCACATGCAGGCACAGCAGGGAGGCCGACTTGGCGCTCGGCCAGGGGGACAGACTCCTGGTGGCAGTGGAGTGAAGGGATGCTGGGGGGGGGGGCTAGCTCTGTGACACCCCTCTTTGTCAAGAAATATACAGCTACATTAAAATAAATGATTTTTTTTATTATTTTGGGCCAGATTTCCTTTGATAATTAAAATAAAAATCAGGAGATATCTATTACCATTTACCACCAAATGAAAGGCCAATTTGTCCTGAAAAAATGTGCTATAATCCACCTGGGTGTACAAAGCAGTTGTGATGATAAGTAAACTTTTACTACAGGGGCAGACTGACAACTCATGGGGCCCCTGGGCAATAGGGGATCATGGGCCCCTGTGTCCTTGCCGAAACTCAAAAAAGCCTATGAAAAAGGTACCAGGGGCATCTCATGGGGCCCCCTACTGACCCCGGATGTTCAAGCGGTGCCCGAGTTTCCAAATGGTCAGTCCGCCCGTTTTACTAACACATGTCCAAGTTGCAAATTGTGCTTAGGCATTAACGTTTATTTTACTCTTAGGCGGGAAGGGGTTAAAAATAATCTAAACCCTCAGTCTACAGAAACCTAAATAAATGGCTCCAACAAAGTGAATACCAAGCAAAAGGTTTATGCTGTTTGAGTTTCCAGGACATTTTTTGGAATGCTTCAAAGGAACCTCAGCAAGGGTTAAGCTAGAGGTGCATCAAAAAAGGTCCTTCTATCCAGTCCAGATCCCACCCATTCAAGGTATTTCAGCCTAGCGCAGTGTAGAAATTTCCAGAAAACTCCAACATGCATTGAGTGCGACCACCCACACTCGGCATGGAGACGGTTATATCCTACACACGGGATGGGTTGTGTCTCTTTATCCCTTTGTCTCCTTGTCTCTTTCACCTGAAGAACCACCGACTCACTGATTCCTGGATAGGGCTGAGGATGCTGATTAGCTGGCCAATTAGCTGATTGGAAATGATGAAACAGGAAAGAGGTGTGTCACTTACCGGGCTGTGCTTCGCAGCATTGTTGTATATAAAGACTGGCTGAACAAAGTTACAAATCTATGTTAACAATGACCTATAGTTTCTCCATGATCTGCCTTCTTGTGGCATCTGTATAAGACCTTCTAGAGCAGTCTTTGTCAAATGTTTACCCTAGAGGAACCCTTGATATTATTTACAGGTTTCAGAGAACAACTGAGAAAAACCAGTTCACTGGTGGCCAGTGAAGCAATGTCTCTTACAATGGTGATCAGTGGGAAAATGTTCCTTACATTGGGGGTCAGTGGGAAGAATGTCCCTTACATTGGAGGTCAGTGGGAAGAATGTCCCTTACATTGGTGATCAGTGGGAAGAATGTCCCTTACATTGAGGGTCAGTGGGAAGAATGTCCCTTACATTGGGGGGTCAGTGGGAAGAATGTCCCTTACATTGGTGATCAGTGGGAAGAATGTCCCTTACATTGAGGGTCAGTGGGAAGAATGTCCCTTACATTGAGGGTCAGTGGGAAGAATGCCCCTTACATTGGGGGTCAGTGGGAAGAATGTCCCTTACATTGGGGGTCAGTGGGAAGAATGTCCCTTACATTGGGGGTCAGTGGGAAGAATGTCCCTTACATTGGGGGTCAGTGGGAAGAATGTCCCTTACATTGGGGGTCAGTGGGAAGAATGTCCCTTACATTGGGGGGTCAGTGGGAAGAATGTCCTTACATTGGGGGTCAGTACCTTACATTGGGGGGTCAGTGGGGAATGTCCCTTACAGTCAGTGGGAAGAATGTCCCTTACATTGGGGTCAGTGGGGGTCCCTTACATTGGGGTCAGTGGGAAGGATTGGGGGGAATGGTCCCTTACATTGGGGGGTCAGTGGGAAGAATGTCCCTTACATTGGTGTCAGTGGGAAGAATGTCCCTTACATTGGGGGTCAGTGGGAAGAATGTCCCTTACATTGGGGGAAGAATGTCCCTTCAGTGGGAAGAATGTCCCTTACATTGGGGGTCAGTGGGAAGAATCCCTTACATTGGTGGTCAGTGGGAAGAATGTCCCTTACATTGGGGGTCAGTGGGAAGAATGTCCCTTACATTGGGGTCAGTGGGAAGGGTCCCTTACATTGGGGAAGAATGTCCCTTACATTGGGGTCAGTGGGAAGAATGTCCCCTTACATTGGGGGTCAGTGGGAAGAATGTCCCTTACATTGGGGGTCAGTGGGAAGAATGTCCCTTTACATTGGGGTCAGTGGGAGAATGTCCCTTACATTGGGGTCAGTGGGAAGAATGTCCCTTACATTTGGTCAGTGGGAAGAACGTCCCTTACATTGGTGGTCAGTGGGAAGAATGTCCCTTACATTGGGGTCAGTGGGAAGAATGTCCCTTACATTGGGGTCAGTGGGAAAGAATGTCCCTTACATTGGGGGTCAGTGGGAAGAATGTCCCTTACATTGGGGGGGTCAGTGGGAAGAATGTCCCTTACATTGGGGGTCAGTGGGAAGAATGTCCCTTACATTGGGGTCAGTGGGAAGAATGTCCTTACATTGGGGTCAGTGGGAAGAATGTCCCTTACATTGGGGTCAGTATGGGAAGAATGTCCCTTACATTGGGGGGTCAGTGGGAAGAATGTCCCTTACATTGAATGGGTCAGTGGGAAGAATGTCCCTTACATTGGGGGTCAGTGGGAAGAATGTCCCTTACATTGGGGGTCAGTGGGAAGAATGTCCCTTACATTGGGGTCAGTGGGAAGAATGTCCCTTACATTGGGTGTCCCTTACATCAGTGTGGAAGAATGTCCCTTACATTGGGGTCAGTGGGAAGAATGTCCCTTAAGTGGGAAGGTCAGTGGAAGAATGTCCCTTACATTGGGGTCAGTGGGAAGAATGTCCCTTACATTGGTGGTCATTGGTCCCTTACATTGGGGGTCAGTGGGAAGAATGTCCCTTACATTGGTGGTCAGTGGGAAGAATGTCCCTTACATTGGTGGTCAGTGGGAAGAATGTCCCTTACATTGGGGGTCAGTGGGAAGAATGTCCCTTACATTGGTGGTCAGTGGGAAGAATGTCCCTTACATTGGTGGTCAGTGGGAAGAATGTCCCTTACATTGGGGGTCAGTGGGAAGAATGTCCCTTACATTGGTGGTCAGTGGGAAGAATGCCCCTTACATTGGAGGTCAGTGGGAAGAACGTTCCTTACATTTGTAGTCATTGAGAAGAATATTCTTTACATTGGTGGTCAGTGGAAATAATGCCTACTTACAGACAACTAAAGAGATTGTTGGTGTCAGGCTCAGGCTCTGCCATGTGATGTTGGCCCTGGCACTATAGAGATGCCATCAAATAGAAAATCAATTAGTCACAGCTCAAGGAACCCCTGGCAACCTCAAGAGGAACCCTAGAGTTCCACAGAACCCTAGCTGAGAATGGCTGTTCTAGACAGTAGACATCATTTAATGAAGCGTGAAATAAAATAAGTCTGTGTAGCTCAAATTTAAATTTTTATTTTCCAGTTCCGGATTAAATCCATAAGAGGTCGTTCTTCCAGTAGAAGCTTTGATATATGAGACACATTGGCATTCAGTGCAAGTCTGTATTCACTGAAAAAAATATTTAGAACATAGTGCATGAACCTAGCGTAGGAACATCAACATCCATATCTGAAGTGCCTCACCAAGTATTAAACCTTTTATTCTTTTACACCTCAAACTTATCATTGTTAATCATTGTGCGTTAATCACGCAATTCAGAGCCGGTGATTTTTTTTTTTTTTCCTTTTCCAGCAAAAAGCGTAAAAGTAAAATGGCCTTGGTGCCCCCTCTATCATTGCTCTTCTGTTTGGAGCGGCTATTATGAGCTTCACGACGTGCACCTCGCTGACCTTTGCTCAGACATTTTATTAATTGCAATTGCTTCTGATTGAAACCCTTCTAAGGCGGCACAATATTTCAGATGACAGAGTGCAGGTGGAAACCTTCACATGAGACAAGGTCAATGAGAAACTGCAGACGAAGGTTGGAGAAAATGTATTAAAAAAAAGTTCAGGAAAAAAAGGGAATTAACTTAGACCCAGTGATGCTGGAGATCAGGAATTGCCATAAAATAGGAGGTAGAAATGGTCACTTTCTAGTCTTGGAAAGATAGCAGATAGGCTAGAACCTCTGCCAATCCACCAGCTGACAAAGCCTCTATATTAAAGTGGAGTTCCACCCAGGGGCGGACTGGCAACTCATGGGGCCCCCGGGCAATAGGGGATCATGGGGCCCTTGTGTCCTTACCCAAACTCAAAAAAGCCTATGAAAAAGGTACCAGGGGCATCTCATGGGGCCCCCTACTGACCCCGGGCCCTCGGGCAGTGCCCGAGTTTCCAAATGGTCAGTCCGCCCCTGGTTCCACCTAAAAGTGGAAGCTCCACTTTTCTGCCTCTTTCTGCCACAAAGCTTCACTGCCGGTTTCCCTTAGTCAAGATGGTGGCGCCATCACCCGATAGCCAACTGAACAATGAGCTGAGGGTGATGATACCCCTGGATGCCTGGACAGGTAAGTGCCCTACTATTAAAAGTCAGCAGCCGCAGTATTTGTAGCTGCTGACTTATCATTTTTATTTTGGGAGGTGTTGAGGGCCAGATCTCCGCTTCAACAGCGATAATTCAAATTTAGTCCTTTTATTCCACTTTAGGCAGCATTTTGAGTCCTGATAAGGGGAAGGGGGTACAGACTGGCTCCTGAAATGCGTTGGCTTGTTGTTTTTGGTGCCTTTGATGTGATACGGTACAATTCATGTAATTAGACACTACATACTTTTTTGTTTCAAAAAGTTAATAAAAGTCCTAATTTCCTACCTGGAGCTGTGTTCTTGTCAGTGCCGGGACAAGGTAATCCAGCGCCCAGGGTGAAGATTGCAAATTGCCCCTCCCCCGCCAGGTAGATTCCCCAATTAAGTCACCATTTACATCAGGTATCCCAAATAGAGTCCTCCTTTACATCAGGTGTCCCCAATAGAGTCTCCTTTACATCAGGTGTCCCCAATAGAGTCCTCCTTTACATCAGGTGTCCCCAATAGAGTCCTCCTTTACATCAGGTGTCCCCAATAGAGTCCTCCTTTACATCAGGTGTCCCCAATAGAGTCCTCCTTTACATCAGGTGTCCCCAATAGAGTCCTCCTTTACATCAGGTGTCCCCAATAGAGTCTCCCTTACATCAGGTGTCCCCAATAGAGTCCTCCTTTACATCAGGTGTCCCCAATAGAGTCCTCCTTTACATCAGGTGTCCCCAATAGAGTCCTTCTTTACATCAGGTGTCCCCAGTAGAGTCCCCCTTACATCAGGTGTCCCCAATAGAATCATTCTGTACATCAGGTGTCCCCAGTAGAGTCCCACTTACATCAGGTGTCCCCAGTAGAGTCCCCCTTACATCAGGTATCCCCAATAGAGTCCTCCTTTATATCAGGTGTCCCCAATAGAGTTTCCCTTTACATCAGGTGTCCCCAATGGAGTTTCCCTTTACATCAGGTGTCCCCAATAGAGTCCTCCTTTACATCAGGTGTCCCCAATAGAGTCCTTCTTTACATCAGGTGTCCCCAGTAGAGTCCCCCTTACATCAGGTGTCCCCAATAGAGTCCTCCTTTACATTAGGTGTCCCCAATAGAGTTTCCCTTTACATCAGGTGGCCCCATACTTCCAAGTTGTTGTCCCCCCTTTCCCCTTGTGCTGACAGATTGGTGCACACTGGAATGAAGGCAGTGTCTCCTTCCTCTCTCCAGTCATGTGACGTGGGGGAGAAAGGAAGAAGGACATAGTCCGCTCTCTTCCTCAACAGCGTGGGGCTAAGACTGAGGACAGTTTTCTATCTCAGCGCTGGCTATTTTCCGCCCCATGGAAGCTGGAGGGAGGAGATAGCTGAATCCTCCCTCCAGGAACAGCTATAGGTCATTGCTCTGACAAGAGTAATACTGTAGTCACTCCTGTCAGTAAGGAGCGGGAGGAGCCACCAACTCAACAGTGCTCCCCTCAACACAGGGCAGGTGCTTGTTCAGCCCCCTCTTGTCCCAGCCCAGGTCGGGCTACATGTCAATCTTTCTGTTTTCTGGAGTGTTGTGCAGAAGGTGCTTCTTGCAGCACCCATGTCGTTTCCTGGTGATTTGGCTTTGTTGGGTTCATCAATAAGTTCTTTACTGCTACAGCACCTGTGTTGTCATCATGACATGAGGGGTGGCAACTAGTCAGCTGCCCAGGAAGAAGCTTGCAGTCACTGGTCACAATTACCAGCCGAGATGCTTTGAAGCAAGGCCAGGACAAGGGGTGGGCAGGAGGGACAACTGTCCCAGGCGCAGGGCATCCCCTCACCACATGCACAATCCAGATCTGATTGGGTGAAGCTAGTGTTTGGTTGACAATATTCCACTGGGGTCCTTTGATTTTCAGATTTAAAATATGTTGGCTAGGAGGGTGGCGACAGGACCATCCAAGGCTCAGATTTCATCCAGTTCATCAGAAGAGCAAAGATAAGGAGAAAAAGAGGGAAAACAAACTGCAAAGTCCTTCTAAGAGAAGTATTCAGCTGTACATCTGTGGAAAGTAGAGAAAAAAGTGTCTCCAAGCAAAGTGTGGCTAGTTGCTCCTGATGTGACCAGTTTGGCATGGAGGAACTTGAATGTCCTGCACAGAGGACATTTCTGCACTGCACCAGACTGCGATCAGATCTTGTTAACAAAGGTAAAGGGGATGAGGCCCCAAAATGGAGTCAATGTGTGATCATCCGTTAATTAAAAGGTGTTTCCAAATTAAATCTTAGAGAAGGTATAACGTACCTGGTGATGGAGGCCAATGGAGAGAGGGCTTCCCTAAGTTCCGGACTCCCCTGAGAGTGGGACAGCGGGAGTCAGGCCCAGGGGCGGACTGACCATTTGGAAACACGGGCACTGCCGGAGGGCCCGAGGTCAGTAGGGGGCCCCATGAGATGCCCCTGGTACCATTTTCATTGGCTTTTTTGCGTTTGGGCAAGGACACAGGGGCCCCATGATCCCCTATTGCCCGGGGGCCCCATGAGTTGTCAGTCCGCCCCTGGTCAGGCCCAAAGTAGCACAGGTCGCCTGTAGGAGTGCTGCTTGGTGGTCCACTCAGAAGCACAGCTGGCGCACGGAGATAGGTCTGCAGATAGGAGGCGCCTGTGCGTGGTATGTAAGTCCTTCCGGGATTTAGATGTTCACTGGGTAGTCGGTTCAAGCCAAAGTCAGGTACCAGGTGGGAATCAGAGCAGACGTAGTCAGATGGGATAGCCGAGGTCATTCACAGAGGAGCAAGAGAGAGAGAGTATCGGTAAGCCAAGCCGAGGTCAGATCAGGGGTAAGCAGAGTAGACAGGTCCAGGAGCAAGCCGAGTCGGTAACAGGAAATCACGGGTCAGAATCACAGGAAACAGGAACAGGGCACGGGGAGCTAGAGATCATCCAGCAACCAGAGGAAGTGATGAGCCTCCTTATAAAGGCCGTCTGGCACCAGACTGAGGCTGATATGTACTTCTGCGGCCATGTAGAGTACTGGTAGAAATGCCAGATCTTCCAGAACTTCTACCGTGGACAGGGGCCCAATTGAAGGTTAGCATTTATTGATCATAGAAACAGGTTAAAACACAATCAATGCATTTTGTAGCTGTAGGATGAAGGAATGCACACAGACCTCACGCATTGAAGTGTTCTGCACACCTTTTTCAGACAAAATGGCCACTAAAGATCCATGAAACCTGTTGGTGGTGCGTTTTGACCTGTTCTTATGATTGATTAATACTAACCTTCCTAAGGAATCCACTTGGGAGAACCTTTTTATTTTATGGAAGCCTCTGCTGACCACACATTGTGTCACCTACCTGACTATGGAACTCAAGGTGACGAGAGTGGCCTCTCACACAATTCTCGTCAAAGCACCCCTGTAGACAGGGACTGCAAGGGCAGCGGAAGGATGCATGTGCCAGGAAGCTGGATGTCAGATGAGCAGAAGCGTAGAGTCAGCTCACAAGCTGAGTTTGGTAACAGCCAGGCAGAGACTTACCAAAACAGAGTCCAGGTCAGAGACAGTCAAGGGTTGGCAGCGTGCTGGCAGCAAAGAATAAACTCAGTAGGCAGGAACTTCATCAAAGGTCAAGGCTGAGGAGCAGCAGACATGAACAGGCAAAGACCTAAATATCTCAGA